CATATCAAAGATCGGAATACTACGGCAAAGCAAGTTGTACCAGTCGGAGAGGTCGGGCGACGGACCGAAGCGAAGACGAAACAGGTCGTCAAGGCGACGAAAACAGCGGACGGGAGTGTGACCGATCTTACCGCAAACGGAGCCACGGCGAGGACCGGTCTGGAGCTGGTACTGACAGCGCCCGGCACCCGAACTGCCACCCGGGGGCACACCACGCGCACGACCACCACCACGTCTAGCGCCGCCACCAGCGCCAAGCCACCCGGGCGGGAGACCACTCGCCCACCTCTGCTGCGGCTGCTACGACTGCTGCGGCTGCTACGACTGCTGCGGCTGGTGCTGGGGCTGCTGCTGCGGATGGTGCTGGTCCGGCTGCGACGCCTACGGCTGCTGGGATGGCTGCTCGGCTGCACCAGACACAGTCCCCTCGTCCACGCCACCACCAGGCGACCCGGCTCCACCACCGCCTCCACCTGCACCGCCACCCCCTCCGCTGCGCCCAGCCTTGGGACGGCAGCCCTTCCCCGGACGGAACTGCGCCGCAGCTGCAACAGCATAACCGTCGAAGAAGGTGCACTGAGTAGGGGCACAACCCTGAAAGATAGGGACCGGCACAGTACCGCTGGTCAGGGCGATAGAGCGCTGGCAGGTCTCTATGACAGAGAGGGTGTCAACAAAGTCGGTGAGGGTGAGTTCATCAGGGTGGATGCTAAGAAAGCAGTCGCAGGCAGTGGCAAGGCGGTCAGGGAGGCGGGTGGCTAGCAGGTAGAGGGCAGAGCAGAGGGGCGGCTGATGGGCTCTAAGCTGACTCTCAGTGCAGGCAGAGCGCCAGGTCGAGTCTATCGTGCGCATGTGGGCGGCAAGGTCAGCGAAAGTGGGGAAAGACGCAAGGTCAGGGAAGAGCATCAGTAGGATCTGGCGACCTACAGAAGCAGCGGGCGGGGTGGAATAGCGCTGGACAACAGCATCTAGGAACTCCTACGCAGTCTTGACCGACTTAAAGCGAGGGCGCTCAGACAGGGGGAGGGCATGACTGATCGCAAGCTGCGCAGCTGCGTCACGCGACAACCAGACTGAGCGAGCAAGGGCAGCAGCTGCAGCGGACTCACACTCAGCAGACGAGGGGTCAGCGGGCTTTGCAGGAGGGGGGTCAGGGCAGGGAAGCGTACCGTCAAGGTGGACAGATAGTGAGTGGCCATCCTGCCGCTGACCAGTGAGATGGCGGCGGAGGTCGACCAGCCACGCTTCAAACTCAAGCGGCTGGCCCTCAGCGTCGAAGTGAAGCACGTCCGCCATCAAGAACTGTGCAGCAGCGAAGGAGGGCGGCGCTGTGCTGTGCTGTGCGGTGCAGTGCGGTGCAGAGCGGTGCAGTGCGGTGCATTGCAGTGCAGAGCGGTGCAGTGCGGTGCTATGCGGTGCAGAGCGGTGCAGTGCAGTGCAGAGCGGTGCCGGGCGGTGCAGTGTGGTGCACGTCGGGAAGGACGGGCCGGGCACGAGTCGGAGGTAGGCCGGCGACAAAACGAGGTCGGGGCCGGCGCAGAACTGACGCGAGGGAGAGGAGCCAGCTAGGAGCGGGTGCGGGGCCGATGAGAGGCGGGCGCGAGGGGCCGGCTAGGACAGGTGCGACGGCGCTGGGGGCCGGCTAGAGACGGGCGCGCGCGGGGGCGCAAAGGGCCGACTAGGAATGGGCACGACAAGGGGCGCGAGGGGCCGGCTAGGAGCGGGCGCGACAAGCACGTGGGTCCGGCTAGGACGGGCGCAACGGCGCGTGGGGCCGGCTAGAACGGGCGCGACGGGAGCTTGTGGGGCCAGCTAGGAACGGGCGCGACGGCTCTAGGGGCCGGCTAGGACGGGCGCGACGGGCGCGTGGGGCCGGCTAGGACGGGCGCTAGGGCGCGAGAGGGCAGGCTAGGGCGGGCGCGACGGGGGGCGCGTGGGGCCGGCTAGGAACGGGCGCGGCGGCGCTGGGGGCCGGCTAGGACGGGCGCGACGGGCGCGTGGGGCCGGCTAGGACGGGCGCAACAGGCGCGAGAGGGTTGGCTAGGACGGGTGCGACGGGGGCGCGTGGGGGCCGGCTGGGAACGGGCCCGACGGGCGCGATGGGCGCGTAGGGCCGGCTTGGACGGGCGCGACGGGCGCGACGGGCGCGAGAGGGCCGGCTAAGACGGGCGTGACGGCGCTAGGGGCCGGTTAGGAACGGGCACGCGGGGCGCGACGACGCTAGGGACGGGTGCGAAGGGCGCAAGGGGCCGGCTAGAACGGGCGCGGGGGCGGCTAGGGCCTAGGGCGGAAGCGCGAGCGGGCTAGATGGACCTAACATACTCATGATACCATATCAAACTGAGAGAATGAACTAGAATGGGAGAGTACAAGGGAGTATACCCTAGGAGCTGTACCCTCTAAGGCACAAACCTATACAGTCTATACAAACATAACAATATATGTTTGACACATTTGGCCAATGTCACTTTCTGCCCCTCGAATGGTCAGTTTGACACGTGGCATAACGGCATTGTCGTGATGTAATTCTTTTCACGAGAGTAGCATGGGCTTCTCGCTCAGAACTGGCAGGAGAGTTTCGAACGGACCTCCGGACGACCGCTCGAAACCCTGATGGATACTGGTGCTATGTTCATGAGTCCTCACGAACTAGCCTCGTGGCATGGCATTCTGTGAAGAGAAATTCACGAATCACCCTAGCTACTTGGACAATTTTAGGACTTAGCCAAGGACAGTAGCACTGTCAAGCTCGCCGCAAACATAGGAGGAGACAGACATGACCTTCAGCAGGGTTACTAGTTTGAGAGCTCAGAAGGATTCTGGGTTAACGTTCCTTGAATCCAGAATATTCAGAGTACTTCTGGACCCATTCCAAAACTCCCTAGGGCCTAGCGTAAGCCCTGTCCAAGTGCCCAGGCCTTTCTCTTGCTTTCCACCAAACCAGAACGAGAGATACTTGCGATAATTGACAACAGCGCCGCGTGGCACTTCTCTCTTCTCCAGACCATACTCTAGCGTGTACACCCTCGCCCCACAGGGTTCTCGTGATTGGGAATCCCTGGGGAGTTCTCAATGTCGGTCTTACCCTCTCTACCTCGAGGTTAGACTCAGCTTTTCCCGCGCCTCTCCAGGTCCTAGTTGCCGCTCCGCCATTCGCCTCAAAGTTTCCGCCATGGATTTCCCATCGACTCGAAGCACACAGAGCCTGCCATTATGCGCGTCGTGCCGCCATGGCCCGAATCACAACGGGACTGCCTCCTCGCTTCGTTTGCCTCGCCTCGATCCCGTTCCTCCCTCTCCGAACTGTTCCACCACCGAGCCTTTCCTCGGCATCAAAGCTTCCTCATCGCACTTCTTTATCGCATTACATATTCTCCCTTCTTCTCCGGCAGGACATATAGTTGCTTCTGCAGTCCACTTCGTTGATTTCCTCTTTGGATCCGTCGTGGTTCGAATCAAGTTAAACCAAGGCGCCATGGCTTCCGTCGCCGAGGATAATGCTGTCGTCACTGATCACTGCCCCATTGCTTCTCTTCCCGACGATCTGCTTGTCGACGTCTTTCACTGCCTTGTGCCAATTTCCCACTTTCATCCGCCTCTTCTAACCAGCAGAACCCGCCTACAGCATTGTCATCAGCGACGTTGTCCAACATCTCCTCCCCCTCGCAAGCCTCTTTCTCGTTCGTGTCTCGTCACTGGCTTCGACTCGCATATGTTGCGACCACGTCTTTCCGCCTGACACGTCGTCCGGGAATCTCAGCCTCACAGCTCCTCTGCGCCGTTAGCCGCATGCCAAGGCTTGAGTCTCTCTGGATCGATTTTTTTGGAGTAGATCCTATGACTGACGACCTCGTTGCGCAGGTCGCGGCCGCTTGTCGCCCGCTTTTGCGGTTTTCGCTGCTCTCCAGTGGTGATCGAGTTGGCGAGGACGATCGTGTCTGGACGTCCCTAGCGCTCGAGGCGGTGTTCCAAGGTTGCACACGTCTGAAGGAGCTCGTGCTCGAATGCCCGCCCGCCATCACAGAGTTTCCTTCCAGTGTCACAAACCTGGCTGGACTCCTACGTCTCATCATGTCTTCAGAAGGCAGCAATTTTAGCCTTCCTTAAGACATCGGCAAGCTTCATGCTCTGAGAATTCTCCACTTGGAAGTTCGTCGCCTCACGGTGCTGCCCGAAAGTCTTGGCAACCTTGGCAATCTGCAGGAGCTGAAGCTCAACGGCTGCTGGGGTCTGTCAGCAATACTCGAGACAATCGGGCGGCTCCTGAAACTACGTGTCTTTCGTGCCTGGGGCTGCGGCACGCTTCTCTTCCTCCCTGATGCTCCTTTTCAGTTGCGCTATCTTGGAATTACTGGAACTCTTCATGCCAAACCTGGCCAGGCTGCCGGAGAGTACCGGGCAGTCCCACAGCCTTCGGCGCCTCATCGTACGCAACCGCTTCAGGGGTATACAGCTGCCTGCGTCCTTCACGAGGTTGTCCTCTCTTGAGGAATTGAAGTTGGGTTCACGCCTTCAGGAGCTGCCAGAAGGCTTCGGGAATCTGACCAATCTCAAAGGCCTGGAGCTGAGTCGTTGCCCTAGGCTCACTCTGCCCTCCTCTCTACCGCAGCTGTCTCTCCTTGAACGACTTGAGATCAAAGGGCAGCAGATGGTTTCTCTCCCAGAGACCATAGGGCAGCTGCCAGCACTCAGAGAGCTCCGTATCTCCAGCTTCAGCAATCTCCAAACCCTTCCTAATTCCATTGGTCAGCTGCAGCAGCTTCGATCCCTAACACTCCGCAAGTGCAGCTCACTCCGAGTGCTGCCAGAGTCCCTGCTGCAGCTCAGTGCTTTGGAGAGACTCGAGTTTTTTCTCTGCACACTCTCCTCCCTCCCTGAGGACATCCACCTCTTGACAAGCCTTCGATGGCTGAATCTCAGCAAGTGCCCAGAAATCAAAGAGCTGCCTGCCAGCATCTCCTGCTGCCCTTCCCTTGCGTGCGTTAGCATCCAAGATTGCCCCGCTCTCACAAACATCCCTGGAGGGGATTGGCACCGGTTTATAGTGCAGCATGACGGCCAAGTGATCATGCGCCAAGTGAATCGGTAGGATGGATGATCGGACAGAGTTGAGCAGGCACGGGGGAGGTGGTGGTGAAGGGGGTAGGGTTTCTCAAAATGTGGTGCTCCAGTGGATGGTGATGCATGCCCTATAGATAGCAGAAATGGTTAAGTGTGGTGCTTACGAGTGTTCAGGAAACAAGCGAAAGATGACCAATTCCTATTTCTAGATGTTTTTCCTTGCAAGACACACTTAAGCTTGCTGCACTCAGCAGCATACAGATTGTGTCACGACTCCTAAGAACATGCACTTCAAATTAATGGGAGGGACATGCTAATGCTAAAGAGATGCACAGCAAGGTAGTGCGGTAACTATCTACCTTCAACGAAGTTAGTGATCTCAACACCGCAGCATCTTGTATGGGGTATGTGAAGCAACAGCATGGCAGCAGCATATGAGAAATGGCATGATAAGTGTTCCCACGGGTTCGCCACTAAGAGCACGCACAATGTTGCCAGGCACCGTCAGGTTGAACACCACCACTGCAGAGAGGCACAGGCGTGGGAAGGGAGGGGGCAGGAGGAGTGAAGGTTGGCAATGGCAACGAGCTAATTGGATAGCAGTGCTTATGAAGTTTGAGCAAAGACACATGCAGCGCGAGGCGACAGAGAAGAGAGAGAGAGAGAGAGAGAGAGAGAGAGAGAGAGAGAGAGAGAGAGAGAGAGAGAGAGAGAGAGAGAGAGAGAGAGAGAGAGAGAGAGAGAGATAGAGATAGAGAGAACACGAGAGAGAGAAAGAGGGAGAGGGAGAGGGAGAGGGAGAGGGAGAGGGAGAGGGAGAGGGGGAGGGGAGGGGGAGGGGGAGGGGGAGGGGGAGGGGGAGGGGGAGGGGAGGGGGAGGGGGAGGGGGGAGGGAGGGGGAGGGGGAGGGGGGGAGGGAGGGGGTGAGGGAGGAAGGGAGGGAGGGAGGGGGGGAGGGAGGGAGGGAGGGAGGGAGGGAGGGATGGATGGAGGGAAGGAGGGAGGGAGGGAGGGAGGGAGGGAGGGATGGAGGGAAGGAGGGAGGGAGGGAGGGAGGGAGGGAGGGAGGGAGGGAGGGAGGGAGGGAGGGAGGGAGGGAGGGAGGGAGAGAGGGAGGGGGAGAGAGAGGGATAGAGAGAGGGAGAACTATATAAGGCCCTCACTCCCTCCATTCTCTTTGTTAAGTTTCCATTCATTCTCTTTTCTTCTCTTGGGTTTCGGCTCGCGCCGGTGGCCTTCGGCCGCCGTCGCTCGCGGCGCGACCTCCGGCCGCGCGGTTAGGGGATGGCAAGCAACTCCAAAACAACATAGCACTCAACAAGTGTGTACAACAACAGCCTACGGGTCCCTGGCCTTGCTGCTGCAACGCACATGGAGATGTTAGAAACAGAAAGGTTCAGTTTATTGATGAAGCAAATGCATTACATAGGAAGAGAGAGATGAGCTAGGAAGGGAGGGTTGGACGGGAAAGGGGGGGTTAGGACCAATCACAACGGAGGGAGGATCCTTCCAAATATGGTTGACCAGAAGTGGGAGGTGGTCCAAGTGTGGTGGACCACACATGGCTTAAGCAACCCACTTGTGGTGCCCCCACAATAGTGGTCCTTGTGTTTGGGGGCTCCAACCACAATTGGGTTGGATTGACACCCCAACACAGGTGTATACCCAACTAGGGATGTAAACACAATATACACAAATAGCATAGCATGGTATATTCTAACACAACCCCATAGCATGCAAAGCTAGTGTATATGAAGGGTACAACCCCAGAATCAGGATGGGGGGTGGGGCCCATGACCGAGAAGGCAGAGGAGGGCAGAGTGCGCGGTCTTCGGGAGGGCCTTGGTAAAGATGTCGGCCAAGTTGGCCTCTGCAGCGATCTTATGGACCACCAAGTGACCTTGCTGGACCAACTCCCGACCGAAGAAGTAGCGGAGTTCAATGAGCTTGGAGCGGCAATGGAAGACATGGTCCTTCGTGAGATGGATGGTGCTGGCGTTGTTGCACAAGAGGGTGGGACAGCGCTGAGGATCACTGATCTCAGCAAGGAGGAAGATGAGCCAGCGAGCCTCCTGAGCGGCCATGGTGCAAGCATAGAGCTCAGCCTCGCAGGATCAGAGGGCGATGGAGGAGGAGCGAGTGGAGCGCCAGCTGATGAGGCCGCTGCCATGGGTGAAGCCGTAGCCTTGAGAGGAACGGCGATCCGGCTGGGAGTCAGCCTAGGAGGAGTCACTGAAGCTAGAGAGGAGGGGAGGAGAAGAGCCTCCCAAGGTGAGGACATAGTCCTTGGTACCATGGAGGTAGCGGAGTACCCGCTTTGCTGCAGCCCAGTGCTCGTCAGTGTGGCGACCGGTACCGACGAAGCGAGCACGAACGCTGATGGGGAAGGCAAGGTCTGGGCGGGTGCACATCATAGCGTACATCAGCGAACCGACGAGCTCAGCGTAAGGATGGTCAGAGGAGGAGGGAGTAGGAGGAGGGGCAAGCTGGTGGTCGGTCTGCAGGGGAGTGGTAACTGGTTTGGCCTGTGCCATGTCAAACCGTTGCAAGACCTGATCAATGTAAAAGGATTGTGAGAGGGTAATGGTGCGCGCTGCACGGTCCCGGCTGATGGTCATGCCCAAATAGTGCTTGAGCTCACCCAGGTCCTTACACTTGAGGCGTGCATGCAGGGCGTCCTTCACTTGCTACATGGTGGCAGCATCGTCAGCGAACAGGATCATGTCGTCGACATACACCAGGATGAAGAAGCGGGTGGGAGATGAGGGAAGGAAAAGGCTGGCATCAGACTGAGAGGCACGGAACCCCAGGGACTGCAGAGTGGCGGCCAGCTTGTTGTGCCACTCGCGAGGAGCCTGCTTGAGGCCATAAACCGGGCGGTGCAGCTCCCAGACTGTGTTGGGAGGGAAGGCTGCATGAAAGCCTTGAGGCCGCCGCAAGAGGACCCGCTCCTGGAGCTCGCCTTGTAGGAAGGCGTTGGAGACATCCATGGAGGCAATCTCTATGTCAATACGAATAGCATAGTCGAGGATGGCACGGAGAGTTGGAAGCTTGGCAGTGGGAGAGAATTTCTCCTAGTAGTCGATGCCATGGGTCTGGGTGAAGCCCTTGGCACAATACCGGGCCTTGTGGACCTGCTCCTTACCCGGCAGCTGCTTCACTCGGAACACCCACGGGCCTTCAACAATGACGTCGTCAGGAGAGGGGACAATGTCAACGAATGAGGCATTGCGAATGAAGGCCTCGCATTCAGCAAAGATAGCCTGGATCCACTTGGCAGCATCGGGGCAGGTGATGGCCTCAAGGAAGTTGGACGGGGTGCATATGGTTGGAACGGTAGCGATGCCAAGGATGAGGAGGCCAAGGAATCCCGGGTAGAGAGGCGTGAGGGAAGGTGTTTGTTGCTGAACGCCAATGAGCTCCTCATGGGAGTCCTCAATGAAGAGAAGGGAGGGTGGGGGTGGCGTTGGCCAACCCCATGGATGGCCTATGAGTGGGCCATGAGAGCGAGTGTGGACGCGTGGGAGGATGAACGGAGAGGTGGTGCGGCAATGCCGATAAGGTTGCTGCTGTGGCTGCTGCTGCTGCTGCTAGTGGTGCTCCTTCTCGAGCTGCTGCTGCTGCTGCACCTCCTGTTGCAGCTGTTGTTGCTGCACTGCCTGCGGTTGCTGCTGCTGCTGCTCCACCCGCTGCTACTGCTGCACCTACTGATGCTACTGCTGCTCCATCCACTGGTGCTGCTGCACCTACTGCTGCTCCTGCTGTTGCTGCCGCTGCTGCTAGTGCTGGTGCGATGAGGCAGAGTGAGCAGGGGAGTCAGGGATAGCTGGGTCGTTAATGTCACCTAAGGAAGGAGGAGGGGGAGGAGCAGGATCCGGAGGAAGGAGGGGAGCCTGCGGAAGGAGTGGGGGAATGACAGCATCAGCCCAGGTGAGGGGGCGGGAGAGAGTAGGAAGTGGGTCGGAAGGCGGAACAGAATGATAGAACGGGATGCTCTCATCAAACACCACGTCACGGCTCTGTAGGAGGCGGCCTGAGGACGGGTGAAGGAAGAGGTAACCAGGGGCAGAGTGAGCGTGGCCAAGGTAGACACACTCAATGGCCTTGGAGGCGAGCTTTCCTGCCTGCCTAGAGCGGTCGGGTGGGGGGATGAGGACATATGCCTTGCAACCCCAGATACGGAGAATGGCAGCATCTGGCTTGGTGCTGGCCCAGAGCTTTGTGGGAGTGCCAGACTGGCGTTGAGGATGTGGGTAAAGATTAGTGAGGAGAGCAGCTTGGACAAGGGCATAGCCCCAAAGAGAAGGGGGCGTGGAGGTACGAATGAGGAGGCAGCGGGCCGTCTTGGTGATCTCACGAATGCGACTCTCAGCAACACCGTTCTGTTGAGGCAAGTGGGGAAGGGTATGAGTCTGTTAGATGCCATGGGTTGAGCAGTAGGAGGAGAGGGTGCGGTTGAGAAACTCACCACCGCCGTCGGAATGGAGGCGGCGGATGGGGCGGATGAGGCAGTGGACACGGCACTGCTTGGCCCAGGTAACGATGACAGCAGGGGCCTCGACCTTCGTGTGGAGAAGGAACACCAAGGAGTACCTGCTGCGGTCGTCGACTAGGACAAGCATGTACCAGTGCCCTTGGTGGGAAGGGGAAGGGTTAGGGCCCCAGAGATCCATGTGGACGAGGTCAAGGGGGGCAGCAGCAAAGGAAGGATGACTGAGGTGAGGCTGTTGTTTGAGCTTTCCATGAATGCATGTGGCGCATGGGGGAGCGGAAGAGGACGGGAGGGGAGGAAGAGTGGGGGAAGACCGTCAAGCAAGCAGGAGGAGACGACTTTACGAAGTGTGGGAAAGTTCATATGACCAAGGCGATGGTGGATGAGAACAACGGGGTGGGACAGTGCGCGACAAAAGCATGGGGAGGAGGTGGAGTTGGAGGAAGTTGGCTCTAGAGGAAGGGGAGGGGGGAGAGTGGAGGTGCCTGCACGAGTGGTCACGTTGCATGAGGAGGCGTGGGGTGTGCTGAGGATGTACTAGCGAGAGTGAGGGCAAAGTGGGAGGCGATGAAGGAGGCGGCGAGTGGGGCCGTGGAGGAGGACATTGTAGGTGGCAGAGGCGAGGAAGAGGGTAGTGATGTCAGCCTGTTGGAGTTCATGCATGGAGAGCAGGTTATGATGAAGGGAGGGAATGTGGAGACCAATGACCACTCCGGAGGGGAAGCGGGGGCAGGGGAGGGTGGAGAGATGAGTGCAAAGGATGGAGAAGCTGGAATCAGCACCATGAACTTTGGTGGGGAAATGGAAGGAGGTGAGGGTGCCAGCGTCCTTGAGGGCAGTTTCAGTGGCACCACTATCGAGAACAAAGTCAATCGTGAGCGAGGAGGGAGCTGAAGACACGGGGTACTGGAAATCACTGGCATTAAAAACAGAGGGATACATGGAAGTGGGAGGCTAGGGAAAGGAGAGCCCCAGAGGGAAAGCCAGGAGGACCTGTTGTGGCTGTGGCAGCCCTGGCGGCGGTGCCAAAGCCAAGCTGCTACTACTGCTATGCAGATGCTGCGGCTGCGGCTATGGCTGCAGCCTGATCACCAGAGCCCCACTGCTGCAGCTGCTGCTGCAGCTGCAGCTGCTGGAAGCGGCTAAATTGCTGCAACTTATGGGGTCAGGGATAGAGGAGGAGGAGGAGGAGAGCTGAAGATGAGAGGGGAGGAAAGACGGAAGAGTTTTAACATCCTGGAGAGAGAGACGGGGATCCATGGCAGACCAGCGAGGGGGTGTGCCAGTGTTGCCGCGCTCGAACCAGGCGTCATCATACGCCTTGAATTACGTCGTTGGGGGATGGTTGGTTTGGGTGCAGCGCTCACCCGCCCCGGGACCAAAACGGCGAAGATAGGAACATGGGAGAAGAGTGCCATGGCAGCCACCACGGCTACCAGATAAACCACCACTGCTGCCACCCTCGACCCCGCCACCACCGCCGCCGGCTCCGTTGCCCCCACAACCGCCACCTCCACCCCCTCCCTGAGGGTTGGTGCGGCTGCCACGTGGGCGTCCACCACGGCGCGGCTCTGCGACTGCAAGCTTGGGGTTTTGTGAGTCAGTGGAGTTCAGGCCGGAGGGGGAGGTTGAGAGAAGGCGGGCCTCAGTGTCAATGATCCACTGGACCACAGTGTCAAGGGAGGCGCGGGGCTGAGCCTCAGTGAAGGCGATGACGCGCACTTCATACTAAGGGGAGAGGCCTTCGAGGAGACGGTAGATCTGGAGGTTGGAGGGGAGAGTAGTCTGGCGAGCCTCTAGGCGGGAGGCAAGGTCCACGAGATGGCTGGTGTAGTCAATGGCGCCAGCACTATTTTTGATCGTAATGCTGAAGTATTCCTTGAAGAGCGGTCCGACAGCGTCGGAGTCGGTGCGTTCGAACATCGCCTCAAGCTCGAGCCCGATCTGGCGAGAGCCGATGCGACGTGCCTGGAAGTTTCGCATGAGCGCAGATGGGATGGCAAGGAGAAGGGCACAAGTAGCACGGCTGTCTCCCTCGAGCCAAGCGCAACGACGCTCAGCAAATCGCGCAGAGTCAGCGGCATAATTGGCGGCGGTAGCGGTATGCTGGGTGCGGAGGGTGGCCGACCGCTCGTGTTCCTCCAAAGCGATCAGGTAATCAATATGGAGCACGAGGAACTCACGATGGTGAGTAACAAAGAGCTGCTCAGCTT